ACAAGCTCTCTTCTTATATTTTTAAGTTTTCCTACAAAGCTGTTCACAATGCTGAAAACCAGAAAGAACTATCAATGGCTAAATTAAGTATTAGCAGTATGTTTAACCTGAAATATTTAAATTACAGCAAAGAGGCCTTTCATTGTCCATGCGTTTTCTAAAAATAAATCTCTTCTGTGAATCAAACTAATGCATAGCTATATAAATTCCTGGTTTTCCTCTAGGGTTATAAACTCCTTATTATATATCCACTTAATTATTTCTCCTGTCACTACCCCTTTTATCTTTGTACTCTGGCAGTCACAGCTCCACAGGCAGTGATGCTCATTGCATGTACCCCTGTAGCACAGTCATTCAAACACTGGGTGAACCACCTTCAGAAAGATTTCTACTTTGCCATCTCCATGAGTCCTGTTTTTCCTCTGAATAAAGCAATAAACCCTTTGATAGGTCTGGCTATATACTGACTGAAAGAAACAAGGTTTCTTAAATAAATCTGCTCATGGAAGTTGCTGAGTGATTTCTTCTGCTTTAACTTTGTACAAGCACACCACATAGCCTAGTGAATAAGAAACATTTATTTTTCCCAAAGAAAGTGCTTGTATTTGTTCCAGGGGCAAAAAGGTTTATATGGTTTTGTTCTTTCTTTAACTGCCTCTATTTTGCTACAAAATATTATTAGGATTTATTTAAATTAGTTTAATATAGGAGGAAAATAAATACTGCTGTCAAAGAATCAGAGCCAACCTTGCAGTCTGGACTAGAGAGAACTCTTGGTTGAGGAAAATGGTCAAAATACAAACTCTAAGTATAATTTTCAATGCTTTGACAAGAATATCCTTGTGTAATTTGGACTGGTCTGCATGACTAGGATTATGTTAGAGTGAAAAGATCAGGCTGAAGATCATACAGCTCTGGTGTGCTGTGGGAGTCAAACCCACGTGTTCCCATGGAAGTTTGGTCTGTGGGTGACCCTCTCTTGGGAAGAGTTTTCCTCTGGCTGTGGCACTGACCGGCACAGCTTCATCCCCTGGCGTGATCGCCCTTAACAGCTGCACAGCCCCACAACTCCAGTGAGCCCCCAGGGTGACACAACGAGGGCCAGCAGTGCTGCCCACACAGTGCTGGGCACGCCTTTGCTTGGGAGGCAGCAGTCAGCTTGTAACCAACCTGGGCCGAACCCTGGGCAGCAAAGCTGGTAAGCCAGTGTGTCCCGGGAAAAGAACATTTCCCCTCTCCTGTCCCTGTGCTGCAGGCACTGCTTCCTAGGGAAACTGCCCCAGCCCTGGGCTCCTTCTCTCAGTAGCGGGAGCTGCGGTCCGATGTAGGATGTGCACTGCGGTAAAAAAGCAGTTCCGCAGCTGCAGGTCAGGATTGCCTCCTGGGGGTGGCAGTCAGAGTATCCTTTTGGACCAGAGCTGGATGCATCTCGGCAGAGCAAAGCGGGTGCCCTAAGCCAAGGTACGGCTGGGAGAGATCCCAGCAAACCAAAAATGCTCCATTACTGATAGCTGGGGGGCTGAGAAGACAACGCTTTTGATGCATTGCAATATCATGCCCAAATATATATATATATATATATCTAGGAAATCTGGACAAGAGCTTTTTGATAATATTGTTTCACCTTCTGCATAATTAATCTGTTTCTAATAGTTTACTAGACTTTTTCTCTGCAGTCAGTACTGATTGCTGTATTCTGCAAGAAAAGAAATGTAAAGTGGGACAAGCGGTTACTTAAATCCAGAAAGGCTGTATGCTTACTTTTGAGAGCTACAGTCTGACTAAGCTAAACAGAATAATAAAAGTTAGAGCTGATTTGTGGCAAATGGTAACCTCAGGGGTCTGAGATTGGTAAATTATTGCTAGAATTACATCTACTGCCTGAAATGCATTTGCTACAGAGGCTGGAGAGACTGTAGAGTTTATTTTTCCAGGTATTACTTGGACCTGTTGCAAAAGAAAAAAAAATGTTTCTATTGAAATTGAAATACCATGGTTATTATTAAAAAAAAAAAAAAAAGTGGTGTGAATCTGCTAGAACTACTTGATTAAGGAATTAACAAAACTGCTTCCTCTGTTGGGAAAACCTGCTAGTTTTGGTGATTTGTTATACAAATCCCAATGATAGCAGCAGAGCATATACCATTTGCTCCCTATTTCAGTTTGTAAAATAGAATAGAAGTCTGGTTATGACAAGCAAATCCCATGAAACCTCTAAAATCTGGTAAATATCACAGATGATAAAGCAAATCTTCAACTTCTACTCCATGCATGTCCACAGTATCCAAATGTATAAATCTCTTCAGCTTGTGAAGAAAATAAAAACTGAGATAATGCTGCCTTCCTGGTGCTGCACTACTGCAGTAGTGTGGGCATCTGCACTGGTTTTCTCTTCCCAAAATTAAACACATAAATTCCAATGCAGACTTGGGTTTAGTTTTCTGTGCTGGTACTTTAAGCAGTAATATCTTCTCATGTATTTCTGTAGTGATAGGTTTCCTTTCATCTGTTTTTAAAATAATAGGTCTCAAACATTAGCTTCTCCTTTGAAATGAAGTTAAAATAAATGAAATTTGAGTTTATTGGGAATGAGGTGAATTTAATTGAATTAAAGAGTTTTGCTCTACTTCTGGGCTTCATGTTAGTCTTCTATATAGAAGAAAATACTTCTGTTTCAAACTTTTCTTCCAAGATATGTTGAGAAGTCCCTTTTCAGTAACCTTAAAAACTTTGTTGAAGTTGAAAACCACCAAAACATCAATATTTAGAAATGTTCAGGTTTTGAAAAAAGTCATCTTTCTCATGAAAGCACAGTTAACCAAAAGATGTCCTGATCCTTCTAGTGAGAGATCTTTTTAAAAATCAAAATTAGCTGAATAAGAACTAGATATATTTTTTTGTTCCTCTTCTCTCTGAAAGTTGTAGCACATCTAATATCTTTAAAAATAAGGAAAGAAAGAAACCTTATCTATATGCCAAAATCCTCTTAGCATGTACTGAATGGCTTCCTATGTCTTTCAGGTGATCCAATTAGCAATTTTTATTTCTCCAGTTGCCAGAACTAATCTGACAATCCTCAAACTACAATTAGGCATTGCTGGTAGAAAAATAACTGTTGAAAATCTGGCAACAAAGAAGAGGCAATTTAATATACAAATAGAACATGTAGGAGAGTGTACATTGAGCTGTAATAATGCACTTAAATAATCCCCAACTTGTGTGTCGGTGAGACTGTGGCATTCTGTGCCAGTGTGTTGCTGCTGCTGGGGGCCTGGCTATGGGAATGAAGTGCAGTCTGATCCCAGAGACATGCTGGCTTCATAGCCTTTCTTCCTTCAGTGTTATATTTCAGGTAAGCTTTAGTCTTTTCTAGCTGAGAAAGATGATTTCTCATAGAGCAGATAGCAGCTAATAACACTAACACACCTATAAAATACCCCATCTTTATGACCACTTCTATGATTGCACAAACCAACTGCCCCAGGGCTCTGTTTTGCATTGTGAAGGGGGGTGGTGATGCTGCCTGTTACCCCTGCACCCCTCTGCAGTGTCTGCTTGCGTGCTTGGAGGTTGTGCAGTAGCAGAGCAGCACTCCCAGTCCTCAGATTGTGGGATCCCACCCAAAATCCGGGCAGAGAACTGACCCAGTACAAAACCAGACCTGAAGCAACCTCATTGGAAGGGCGTGGGAGTCTGTAGCCAGTGCTGCCCTTTGCTGTCATGTCAGACCATGCTGATACTACTTCTTGTCACTGATATTCACAGAAAGTATGACTTTAAACCATTCTTAAAGCCTAAGCAAATATTAAGTGCTCATCTTGTCTTCCCTTGCCAAACCAGTTCCCCATGACCCCTTCCAGCTTTCTTTTATTGCACGTTTGAGGAGCCCCTGATCTGTGGGGCAGCACAATGGTACTAACAGGGGCAGAGTGGGGCAAGAGCAAGTGCCTGGAGATATGGGAGTAACTCTATGGTACTCCCCAAGGTGTAAAAACACTCTCTTGGGCTCCGTAGTCAAGTCCTCTTTTGCACCTCCCTTGAGAACTAGACAAGTGTTGTGCCAAAATCCAGATTTTCAAGTCTGTACCTTAGAAAAGTGTCTTGCTGATGCGATGGTTTGGAGAGACTGGTAACTCGTTTCTGCCTGGTCACTGCTACGATGCTTTCAAATTAAGTTTGTTTGAACACTAAAAACATTAAATAGAATAAAAACTGAATTGAGCTTTCTGGTTACCCCCAGGCCATTATAATCCTCTCTAATGAAACTGTCTGTTGCAAAAATGGATGAAAGTAATGTTCTTCTTTATTAATCTTTTCTAAATCTCTATCTGGAAATACATGTCTCTTTTTCATCTTCTTTTTTTTTTTTTTCTTCCTTCTCCCTTAAATCCACTCTATCAATTTGGAGACTCCCGTTCTAGTGTTTAACTGAAATAACCTGAGAAATGATTGATCATTAAGGAAAGATGGCAACAATCACCCAAGGAAAAGTCATGGGGGTATTCATCAGTTTCTGTGGAGTCAGAATAGGTCTATCGATATAGACAGTCTGAAACACCCTAAGTAAAATATAATGAAATATAAAGCAACCTTTTTTCTTTTTTCCTTTCTTTTTTTTTTTACTTTTTTTTTACATTTAGGTAAAATTAATTTCAAAGCACTTCTGTAAGTTGAAAAGACTAGTGCACTAGCCTTTAGCCTTTTTTTGCCTGAATTTTGGAGAGCTGATGAGAGTAAGATATCCATGTACCACATACAGCTGTATAGGTCTTCTAAGTCCATGTTAATCTTAACATCAATAACAATTAATTAGCACCCATTGACTTGAGTGGATTAGCAGAGTTATGGGAAAAAAGAGAACCTAAAAGAGAACACTAAAAACTCTATAAACCTTTATTAGAACAAGTTCTTTAAAATCTCAAACTCATATATACAATTAAGTAATGTTACGACTTTCAAATATTTACATTACAAAATAATTTGGAACAGCTATTTGATAAAACATTTGAATATACAGTAATTTCATATCAGAAAGTTAAAAAAGTTGATTTTTGTAGCCTTCCAATGGATTTAGCATTACAAAAAAATATTTTTTTAGTCTCAGAGCACAAGTTTTCTATGAATCTATAATTTATGACTGCATAGAAACTAAAAAGAATGTTCCTTTTTGCTGAGGTTACTGTTAGGATTATGTTCTTTACAAGTGCAGGACTCTTATGGAATTAATTAAGTGCTGGCAATGTCAGTAACCTTATGTTTGTAACATTATGGAGGAGTTATTTCTATTTTGTTAAGATACTGATTTTTAACATATGTAGGAGAGATGTTGCCTAATTACCCTTCTTATTATCCGTGTATTTCTCAAAAAAATCCTCCTTTGGATCTGTAGCTTTTCTGCCTTCTGCAGGACAAAAATGCCTCACACTGTAAATTGGATGTCAAATTGCCCTGAAGTGCTGGATAAGTACTGAAATAATTGAAGAAAATGGAAGAAGAGGTAACAGTTGTTTAGGGATCATCACATTTGCTAAACATTTTAGAACTGTATGCAGTGGAAGAGATTTTCTGTTTGCACGCTTTTTCTCAATTTCTACTGAGGGATGATAATTTGAGTTTTCAGTTGCCAGTGGACATTGCAAGAGGATGGGTTGGCTCAGATCAGGCTGACAATGAGGACATTACAGCAGAGGCCTAAATATTGTGTAGTGCATAGTGATAATAATACTTAAAACCTGCTGATATCTGCTCTCTGGTTGTTCTTCTTTTTGTTTTGTGAGTTAGAGGACCTGACTATGTGCATCATTTACGGAAAACTAAGGTGCCTCAACCAAAGGTGTCAAGTTAATATTCATGAACTGGAATATTAGAATGTTTTGGTTTACTGATATAGGAGAGAAATTTTCTAAGTCCCCTGCAGTTCAACTCACCTACAAGATTAAAATACTGGGACAAAAGGAGATGACCAGGAACTGATGACAGTGATGTAAAAGAAACAGGAGTGCAAGGGGCACACGGGCAAGCAGAAGAGAGAAATACCAAATGGGGTGAGAGAAGAGAGGGGCCAGGGCAGCACCCAGGCTGATGCTGAGCTCATGACCCCAGGCTCTTATCAAATGCCAGGATGTCAATTTGCTGTTTTAAATAAGGCAAGGGAAGCTTTGCACATACGTGGATCTGCTTTTGTGTGTGTTGCATATTAAAACTACATCCCTAAGAGACTTGCCATAGAAAATCAGTGGACACAGTTGCAGGATTTATATTCCCCACCTTGAGGTATCCCAGAAGTCTGATTTTTTTTCAGTGTAATTAAAGGTGACCAAGTACACTTAGAAGTCCATGACTTTCAGATATTGCAAGCTCAATATTCAACAACAAAAGCAGCAGCAAATGTACTGCATCTGAAAACCTTGACCAAGTAGTTATGCATAACACAAACCTGTGTTTGATCTGAGTACTGAATTGTTCAATTGTTCAAGCTCACTTATTTTTTAAAAACAGAAATGTTTTCAAGTTGGATATTCCTGAAGTAGGTGGTTAGAGAACAGCCCTCCCCAGGGAGGAGACTTACATGGAGAGAGCTAGCCCAGGGCGCTCATCTGTGGAGATAATGAACTGAAAGGCAATCTCAAGATAATAGTTTTGACTTCTCCAATAATTTTAATTTGAAAACCGAAAAACACACTACAGACAGAGTCCATGCCCTTGCTGGGCTGCAGTCACTTCTGGCTATTCCTTTGAGAGGCTTCTCAGCTGCTCTCTCTGTCCTCAGAGGTGGTCTGACAGTCCTAGCCTGGTACCTCCCCAGCAGATGCTCTGTGCAAATCAGCGCACCATTCAGAAAAAGCAAATTGAAAAATAAACATTGCATAGGCATGAGCTTCACATCCACAAAGGCAGGGCTGTCCAGAATTATGGACATGGAAACAAACACCCCCGAAAAACAAAACAAAGAAACCCACCGAACTTTGAACAGAAATGGTTTTAAGTGCTGCACAATACAAAACTGCAGAATGAGACAGAATCATGAACTGTTTTGAGGACTGTTGTAGGGGGAGAAAAGGAGATTTCTCTTGATTTGTGAGGAATGTCATTGCAGAAAGAATTTAAATCAGTCTCTAATCTTGCTACAGTGATTCTCTTTATTTCTTTTCTTTTTTTTCCTTCCCCTTGGTGATGTTTCCTTTCTGAAGACCGTATCTAGCAGGACACAACCAAAGCATTTGCTTGTCTGGTCTCTTGAGATGAATTATATTTAAATCCAGTTCTTCCAATATCTGGGGGATGGTTAGCTTGTGTGCTGCTTCCCTTTAGCCAGTTCTCTGCTGTTCTGACTTCACGATTCACCGTCACTGTGTACGCACAGGAAAGAAAAAAAACACACCAGTGTCATGCTGTTGGGTTAGTTGTCTCAGCAGGAAATAACATGAAAAAGTATCTCTGGAGTCCATGAGAAGGTGTTACCAGGAAATAAATCTGTCAGTCATGCAACAGATGAACAGACCCCATCTGTAGTGTTGGATGTTGGCAGCAAGGGCTGCCCTGATTTCTCTGAAGGTTAGTGGCTGCCCAGCACAGCCTGTCTCCTGCTCCCAGGCCTCTTTCCACAGGTGAGGATAACTTTCTATAAATAGAATTTCTGTATTACATCTGACCTCATAACAGGTGCATTTTCTCTTTGTCCCACTGGTTTCTGCCCAGCTAGCTTGTTCCCTAGCTCTTTCTTAATAATGTTATTATAATGTTCATGCCAACATTAAAAATGAGATATCTTTTATCGGCTGATTGGATTTCAGTCAGCATTAACAGCAGGGCTTTAAACCACTTGTGAAGCTAAAAGGGTCACTCATAATATTTTACATGTTTTTTTAAGTCCCTTGTCAAACTGAGGCACATCCTGGGAAGGCAGTACTTCTTTCTGTACTGGCTTATTGCCCACCCAGAACATCTCTTCATGAGAAAGACTCACCCTTTTCAGACAGAAAGACTAGGAGGGTGCCCAGCAGCACCCAAGGCAAACCAAACCTCTCAGGAGGAGTGTGAAAGCATAAGGGGATTGCTTGTACTCCTGCTCCATCCCGCATGGACAGGATGAGTGGGAGCCCTGGCCCTAGGGAGGCTGGGGAGGCTTCTGTGCTCAGGCACAATCAGGATTTTAGCATTAGGTTTCAAAGCCAAGACATATTATTTCAAATATATATTTTAAAAATGTATGTAATTTTTGAAAATGTATAGATATATTTGTAACTTAGCTTACATGCAAGGTAGGTGACCTCCACCTACCAAGGGGCCTGGGATGTCATATCTTGCCTCCTGTACACAAATGTGCAGCCCTGATGCTCACTGAGCTCAAAATTTTAATATAACATAACATAACATAACATAACATAACATAACATAACATAACATAACATAATATAATATAATAGCTTTGTTTCATTTTACTTCATAATCTTTCACTTTCCTCAGTCAAAATAGCTGCTGAAAACATCTACTTATCTGTATGTAGTTCTCTTTCTGACATTATTTATTCAGCTAAGCGTTTGATTAGGAAAACCAGCAGATATTGGTCTGATAAGGTTCAATTGCAGAAATAAACAGGAACCAGGTTTTTTTTCATTGTTTACCCAGAAACCCCACAACTTCAGATACCTTTTCTCATTGAAATAAAACATATTTCAAAATTTCATGTGAAACAAAATTTGCAGAAGTAGCTCGGAGTTAAGGGAAACACTAAACTTAGAAATATTTTACCACCACAGGGCTCTGTTCTTTAAACTTTTTAAAACTTTTACATTAAAAAGTCACTGACTCTGAAAGATAGTTTTGGAACAACTTTCATTCTGAAAATGTCAAAATGTCATTATTGAAATGTTTAGTCTCATATATTTTCAAAATTATATCAAAATCATTCATAGTTCAAAACATTTGGGTCTTGATGAATTTCCCCCAGCATCTTTATGAATCATGGAAGCCATCTCTGTTCAGTGAGGCCTTGAGATGTTTCCCATGCTGAAATATCATCAATAAAATCTAAAAAAGAAATTACTATAATTTGAGAAGAATTTTGTCCAAACAAAGCAGTCTTTCAGAATCTAAAATTGAATCTAATAATCTCACACTTTGTATTCAACTAATATCCTTTGTCTGAGCAGCTCTGAATGTCTTAGAGATAAATTTCCTATTTTTATTTGCATTTTTTTGCCTTTCTACAATTTCTCTACAGTCTGATTCTATGGTACCAGTCACAAGAAAATATACTTAAATGACGTGTGTGCCTTCGCTCTGACTGAAGCATATTTATCCAAACAGGGTTGCTTTTTTGCAGCAAGGCTTAAGCCTCACTATATTATTCTGAAGTGGCAATAACTCCGTTTTACAGGTGGGGAGCTTGAGCTAAGGTGTAGCCTAAAGATGCCTTTTGACAGCCAAGAGCAAAACCACCTCATTCTGATGGGGTTAATGCAAATCCAGTAAAAAAAGCACTTTAGAAAGGGTGATATTTAAAATGCCAGTTCAAGCTGGTATGTCATGATGATTTTTTTTCTGAAAATGAATTGTTTAAATTTTGGAAAATAAACTTAATGCTAAGGTTGGTGTGGCTAAAAAGCCTTTTCCAGTATGACTGACTGGTGTTTTGCTGGTGTTAGCATATGACTCAAGCATGCTTTGTCCTGTTCTCCCTGCTATAGTCTGTGGAACGCTCAGCAAATCTGCTTTTAGAGAACCACTGTGCAGCTGCCTCTCCTTAACAATTTTCCCCCTCTGAGTTATCATTTAGAGGCAGGAAGGGAAGACACAGATGGCTAGCAAATCCAGGATCTTTTCCAGCTGCTTAGGGTAAAATTAATGCGCTTGCCTGCATCTGGAACCTAGAATCTAAGTCTTTTTTTAAACAAAACTAAACTAAAGCAAATACCTCACAGCACAACAATCATGATTTCTCTTGCAGTAGGTGTAAGCAGAAACCTTTTAAATACAAATAGCTGAAGTGGACAAGCCCCATCTAAAAGCTTCCCTGAAACTGCAGCTTTGGAGCAACTGACTTGCAAACTCTCCAGCAGCGGTGATTTAACATCCCTGCTATTTCATTCCTGAGCAAGGAAGCTCAGGAAAGAGTACTAGGATATTATGAGAGTCCACAGTGGGAGGTGCAGTTCTGCCAGAGAGACATATTCAGCTGAATTATCTGGTGCCATGGGAAGCAGAAGACCTAGGTCCCCTTCCTGCCACCTGTCCCTGTTCCTGGCCTTGCCTGATTGCATCACTGCTTCCACTGCACCGGGGATTTTCTTGGCACATAGGATAGTTTACTTGTTTGTTATCATAACCTGGCACAGAGGAGCTGCTTTGCCCCCTACCCAAAATGCAGCTGCAACACAAGGGTGCAGGCAAGGGCAATGTACAACCTCTTGTTTCCAGCTGGAAACAGAATTTTTAATTAGGGAAAATGGGAGTTTGAGAGGGATTTAGGAGTTCTGGCCAAAATCCCGAGGAAACCAGCTAGAAAGATTTTAAGTTTACAAGCTGTCAGGATTGCGGTTTTGCATCCCTCTGGGACCTCTGTTTGTACTATGAGCTAGTGCCAGCTCTGGGGGAGTGCTGCACCAGGGCATCAGGAAGGTCCTTCAGGTTTCTCTGGGGTCAGACGAGTCCCTGTCTGGCAAGTCACAGCTCCAGCCAAAACATCTGGCAGGGGTTCTCAGGGACCCATAGGCGCCAGGCGGCAGAGGGGAACTGGGTACAGGCACTGGTGAAGAGTGCCAAGGAAGCTATGCTGAATGCTTATATTAACACCTTGGGAAACTGTGATTAAAGTCTGATCAGCAAGTGAAACTCCCTCTGTGCCATCTGGTTGTCTGTCTTGCACCAGTTTACAACTGTAAGATTATTTAGCGTTGCAATTTACAGGCAGAGACCTTTTGAGAAATAAGAGTGTCAAGCCTTTTGCTTAAATTGAAGTCAAAGTCCACATATATAAAAACTTTAAAATCTATGTATACCAAAGAATCACTCTGTAATTTCATACAAAAATTAGATTATTTTAGAGTGACATTGACTGTATTTCTTCAAACAATATAATGAATTAAAGTACCTTGGGTTGGCAATTGATTCTTTTTCTTCTTCTCTTACAGTAGGCAAACATTCACAGTCAGCTGAAAAAGGATAAGAAACAAGACCATGGTTACTCTTGGCAATTTTTCTACATGTATTTCAAAAATGCATCAACTTTTATTATGCAGTCTCTCTAAAATGTAGATCTGTGGATACACTTCTGCACTGTTTTATCTGCACAGACCCCTTAGCATAAATGTTACACATTTTAAATCCTCCTTCCTTTTGATAAGTGTTGCCAGAATTTCTTTATGACATATATTTCAGTTATTTATGTACACCTATACAAATTAGCTATTTTTGAGGACTGCTTCCCTACAAACTGCCATGGGTAGGGTTGTCTGTTAATCTTCCATTGCTTATAATTGCACCTATGCTTTATAGTCCAGCTGGGAATTTGGGGCTGGAGTTTGGGAAACACTAACACACACACACACACACACACAGCTATGCAAAATATTTGTTCCCTTCTCACCACAAAATGTAAAAAAATATTTTACAACACTATTTTCCTTTGTAGCACACTTAATGTGTCTCTTTCACTATTGCCACTTAGCACATGTTTTCCATTGGAGCTTACAGACTGCAAAGGTCAGAACCCCATCACGTGGAGCGCTGTGCTAATGCAAAGAAATGCTCCCTCCAGAGAGTTTTATGTCCTGAAAAACAAAGCATCCCCCGTAGGTCAGGCAAATGAGCCATTTGGATATAAGGCAAGGGACCAGGAACGAAAAAAATATCAGTGTTTCAGCATTTCCCAGCCAGTGAAAAGCTGTTCGGGGTTCAAAACCAAAGATCTGCATTTTTTGAGGAGACCCTTGAAGGAGAATGCAGGGCCCTTAGGGATTTTGGCTGGGATATTACAGTTGGGAGGAAAATGAGTGGGAAAATGCAAAATACTTAGAGGTAACTGAGAAGGGGGCTGAAGGTGCTGCTGGTGGTGGTAGTTACTGCAGGTTCTAATTGCTCCATCGCTGATAGACTTGCAAGAGAGGGGAAGGGCACATTCATAGGCTCCTGACAGCAGTTTTAGGTAAATGGTGGTCTGAGCTATGAACAAATGCGTATTTCTCCTACACAATGCGGAGCACAAAACTGTAGTAATTCTGAAGACTGAAAGGACTAGATGCTTCACAGAAACTAGTATTTAGCATTAAAAATGTGTATTTAAAAATATAAATGCCCCTCACAGCTATATGTGTGTTTAATAGAAATGTCTACTGGAAACGGAAAACATTTATGAGATTCCACCACACGTTAAAAATAAACTCCCACACAAACTCAAATACTGCTCTGAAAAATTCTACCCCTGACATTTGTGCAGTTATTTCAGTAGGAGGGAGTCAAGAGCACAACTAAAAATGTTGTAGGAAAAGCAGTGACATGCATACAAAATACCTTACGTTGATTTTCTACACATGGGATCTATGTCAGCTAGAAAGAGAGGGAGGATGGACTAGAGGGGTTACCATGTACCATTTTTGTTCATGCTGTTCATCCATTTATCAAGCTCTTCCATTTCTATCTCCATAACAGAGGGCGTGTCTTCTTCAAAAATAGGACTTGAAAGAAGAGAGGGGGAAGAAAATCATTACACAAAATGTTAATTTGTACAACTTACAATTTAGTAATTTTGTATGACTCTTTCTTAATTCCAGACACAGATATTATCTCTGGAAAGCCATCTGAGGAGATGTCTGCCCAATGGGTTTGAACCAAACAGCTGCAAACAGATGCAAGGGAACAACGCTGAGATGCTGGTCCTGGGCAGAGCTAGGGAGGGCTGAGACATAACACACAGAGGGAGTCAGTGCAGCCTGAGGTGTGCCAGAGCACAGGATCACTGCAGCTTCTTGAAAACTGTCCCTGCTGTAAATTAGGAAACTAAAAAATAAGATAGTTTGTCTCTGCCCTGCTGGAAAACATGGCAAAAGTCCCATTACTCCAGTGAGAAAATCAGAAGGCCTAAAGTTTCATCATAGCTGTGACTGACATTTGCAGTGACTTCAAAAGGAAAGGTCATGAGTAGACTAAGTGCATTTATTTAAATGCCTCCACTTAGCTTCCTTTTGTTTATCATTCCTGCAGTTGTAAGATAGAAAAACTATTTTTAGAAAAAACCCTTTTTCCCTCTTAGATGCAATTTATGAACTTTCAGCATTGATTAGCAACATGGATCTCAATAAAAGGTAACAATAAAAATTATCACTCTAAAAGAGCCACACAGCTTTTGGCTTGTTTTCCCAGCATCTAAGGCATTGCTCCCATGGCAGCCAGGCTAGCCTTTCTGCCTCACCTCTGAGTGAGAAGACAAACTTGAAAAACAGGGGAGCAAGACACAGAGCTTATTCTGAATAGCAGAAGCCTGTGATGAGTCTGGGAACTGATCCTGTTTGCTCCTGGGGTATTTTGTGCCTCTGGTGGCTGAGGGAGCAGGAGGTGCCTAGAGCAGGGGCAGCAGGGGCTGCAGGCTGTGGGTGCCTGTGGGGCAGTCTCAGCCTGTGGGGCAGTGCTCGCCTCAGCCACAGCAACTCCTCCTGCTCTAGGAGTTACACCTTCAGCCAGGTACTGAAGTCACACTTTAGCCACCTGTAGAGATGGTTAGCTGGTGCAGCTGATGGCAAAAGTTGTATGGTAAAATTAAAACAGGTGGTGAAGGAGACAAAAATCATAATGTCCTGTTAGAATAAAATTTAAAAAAAAAAAATTGAAAAAGAGAGATATTCATAAAATTTACCTTTTCACATTTTCACTTCCCAGCTCATCTGGAAAAGAAGAAAGTTGGTGTTCATAGTTCTGCATTATATATACCCCATTGTATATACAAGGTCCAAGACTTCAAGCAAGCCTTGAATAGGGTCATGTAAAACAGGCTGCACCTTCAAAAGGCATAAAAACCAAATTTTAGAGGAAAGACAAAACATCTCATCCTGTTTGTAATTTTCAGAGGAACCCACTATTTTTAATCTTGAATATATTAATAGCAGCTCCTTATTAGCCATGCTGGGAGGAAGCCCAGTGTCAGTGCTGCAGTGGGTGGGACAGGACAGATGCACGCTTCCCTGAGCAAAACAGATGTCTTGAGGGAAATGGTATCCTGAAAAGGAACCACTTCTGCAAAAATACTGTTTATGAGAGGCATTGGGACATTTTTCTACAGATTACACACAGGCACTCCAGCTCTGTCTGGAGACTCTGGAAGCCACTCATGGAGAGAAGAAGGGGGGGTTGGACTTGCATGGCAGATTAAATCTCAGTCAGGCAAATGAACCTGAACTAGCCAGATGTCAAAAAGGATCTAAAGCTACTTATGATCCCAAGACATAGTAAAGATGGGGGCGAAAATGGTGTAACAGATAAATAACTTCCCCTTCAGGCATCGAGTGACTGAAAAGCCTGTCTCAAATCAGCTTATTTTTGATTCATTTTTGCCAGTGGGTGCTGATACCTCCCAGTTGTTCCAGCACTCTGGCATTTCCTGACTACAGGGCCACACAAAAACTACAGAGCCATCTGCCGCAGCCTTGAGGATGCTCAAAATCCCAGCTCCAAGCAGTAGGCACATGGCAAGAGAATTCAGGATTGTGTTCCTGAAAAGCGCCACATTTCCTATCCCTCTGAAGAGTGTACATGCACTTCAAATCATCCAGAAACAGGCAGGCAACTAGGTGCCTGGTTGTGAATTCAGTTTTTTAGAGGGAGATGCAATAATAAGGCAAACGCAGCCTAAAAACAAACACCCCAAAAAATTTACTTAAAATCTGTGTTGAATGTGTTGCACTGCCTGCAGGCTGAGGAGCTCACAGCTGCACGCTGGCTCTGTAGAGACACTGATGCAACCATTTCAGGACTTCACTTACCAGATGCATGGTTTTAATAGGACACCTCAGTTTGTTTTCTGTGGCTTGACACTCCAAATTACTACTTTCTTTGTTAAGAGATGAAGGCACCTTCCTGAAGCACTGCTCAGCCTACCACAGCACCCAGGCACTCTGACCATGGGATTCCTAGCTCATTTACTATGATGTCTTCATAGCAGCCACTATCCTATGGGATTGGGATCCCTTAAAAGTGTTCCTTAAAATGGTGTTGCTTGTTCTTATTTTATTGAGGCTCCAAACAGCTTTACTTTGTGGGCAGTAAAGGCAATAGAAGCATTAATTTCACTTAGCATGAAGTTATTGAGCATAAAGAGAGAATAAGCATTTGCAGCCACACAGTTACATCCCTAAGTGTTCTCAGCATTGCCAGGACCTGGATCTTAGTGCCATGACTCCCATGGGTGTGGAGCATGAGCAGGAGGTGCCAAGAAGGGGAATTAGCTCCTGTCCAAGGACAGGTGTGTGCCCAGGTACTGCTGCCAAGGAGGATCATTCTCCTATCTGTCAAACGGGCAACTACAATCAGAGAAGGACATCCAAAATGTGGCATCACAGGCCTCCAAATAACGTTTTGTTAATGTTCAGTACACCCAAAAAATATTCTTTTGATGCACAAAAAGACAAATTTACCTTGCTTAGACTTTTTCCTTTTATGATGTATTACAAAAAATGTGATCAATAAAATCATCAGGACCAGCAGCACGACAGGGACAACATATATCAAGAAAGACTGTTCTGCTGCTTCTAGACTGTCCTCATCATCCATAGCATTAGGTTCACTACTTGAAGTATTTTCTGTTTCAAAGCTGCTTTCAGTAGCACTTGTTGTGACAAGTACTGTCTCATGGTCATTCACGGTCGAAGAACCCACAGCAGGAGGAGCTGTTACTGTAACAGTGGGTAATGTCGATGGTCCATCTCCTGATCCATCATTTTCAGGGCCTGTCAAATATAGGAGGACAACATTTTATGGGTTTCATTAGTGTTATCAGTGAGTCACAGCGTACAGCTTTAGTACTTACTTTCCATTTGATGTCTTAAGAAAATCAGCAGATGCCCCATACACACAGATTTGAAGTCTTGGGCATCAGATGTAAAATTAGATCACAAATTTGTCACAAAATCTTACCAGTCATGACCATGTTCTTCAGCTGGCTTTTACTGGAGCAAGTCAGCATGCGTGGTCTGTCTGCACAAAGCTGCCTTGCACAAACAGACTTCTTTTCCTGCAGATTGACATCCGGCCTTGCTTGCATGTAAAATTATTTTGCTTCTCAGTAAACCACACCAGCCTCTTTTGCTCCTCAGTCTTGGCACATAAATCCCTCCCCTTATCCAAGGAGTTAGGTACTCCCTTCAGGAGATCATTATCCCTGGTTCACTAATTCCTTTGGTTCACACATCTCCCTGTTTCTGTGCCTTTCTCAAATTAATTAAGTTTGTCTCACTGTAGAAAACAGAATTGGTGAAAGGAAGGTGTGAGGGATGCAGAAGCTGCTGACTTCCACTTATGCCTGGGCCAGAAGAGGTGGCAGTAACAAAGGGATGTTACTGGGTACAGGTGCCATTAACTGTTCCTGTGTCTGATCCTGCAGGCTGGCTGAAGGAGCATATGGTAAAACATCAATGCTGATTATTCCTCATAAATGCTAAGACTGGGCGTTTTGAACCTTGGTTTTGGTTTTGGTTTCATTTATCATGCATTTTGCAAGAAAAGTGGCTAAAATTGGCTATATTGGTAATAGTGAAAAAAGTGCTTTTTTGTGCGGCTAATTAAGAGTCTGTATTGACTGTCACAGAGTTTAAAGCTTAAAACAAGTACAGAAAATTATGGGCAGGAATCCGTCAGATAAATTACAATGCATGCTTCCTAATGCAAAGCCTTCAGTAATTTTCTTAGCATGAAATTAATGATGGGGTTTTTGTGTTATCTGCCCTTTCAGATACAATGCTGGCGCAGTGCAGGTCTCATTTTATGCAATAAAGCAGGATAGGATTTCATGACTTTCGCAATGACACATTTCTCCTCGTTCTTGTAAAGTGCTGGGCAGCCATAGTTTCCACTAGAGTTAGCAAGAGCTTAAGGTTTTCAGCACCTCAGTGCTGGCATTTCCAATCTCACAGGACTGGAACCAAAAGTACTTAGCATTTTAAATGCTTTTGTAAACACATTAATCTTCATAATGGCCCTGAGAGATGAGCAGTTATCATCTCCATTTTACAAATGAGAAATCAGAAGGACAGGGATGCTGTCCTTCCAAGGGACACCAAGTGAAAGAGGAAAACTGGGATTAGAGCGCTATCTCTTGCTTAATCCACTCTGCAGCATCTCCTCTCTCCCATCAGATTTGTCTCTAAGAGGAGATGAGTATTTAATGAGACTGTATTTCAGTTTCACATGAATAAAATTATTTGAGTGTAGCAGCAGCGTTCTATCTAGATTTTTATGCTGTGCATATCACACAGGCACCTGATTGTTTTATTCTTTCCTAAAAACTAGGAAAGAATTTGAATACTTAATAAAGACTACCTAATACTTGTATATAGTATTTAGTACTGTGAAGGTCACCAGACTACTGCACCACAATAGGACAATGAAAATGATAGCTCTTTTGTGGCAAAGCACTTTGTAACTAAAGTCTCTCTGTTGCTTTCTTCTGCATTTATTATTTCAATCAAGAGCAAAACAGTATCTCTGCCTCCCTTGCAGGTAAGGACCCGTTATGCGTGTGCTCCTTCACCCCTCTCCGTGATCTGCTAGCAGACCTTAATCCTATCGCAGAAGACAGGAGGGAGAGCTTCTCTCCCTTATTAGTTTGGCCATTTGACTTTTCTTTCCCAAGTTTATAGTTCCTGGTGCCTGCAACCACTCCATTTGGATTGCTGCTGTGCGGAGCAGTGAGGTAGCACTAGAGATGTCTGTGCCACAAACTGCGGTGTGATAGACCGTGCCACTGGCAGAGCTGATGGCCCACCACAGCCTCATTGAACCTCTTCAATGACCTTGCTTCATTTTCTTCCTCTAGCCATCGTCCTTGAAACCCACTGCCCGACACATTTGATATATTGAGAGGGACAAGCCTGTTGCTTAAAATAGTGCGAATGTGAAAGGGTGTGGAGAACATACCTTATGTCTCATTTGCTCTTGGAGTTAAAATGGATTTTTCAAATGTCTAAAGCGTGGTGTGGCTTTAAAGCACAGCAAACAGTCACACCTCATTACCTGCAGTGCTAAAGCTTCAGCTGCAGACTCTGCTGTGCTTGATTTCCGAGACTTCTCCACTATCTCTGGTATTCTTCCTGTTTTTGAGCTATGAAGCAGACTTCAAATCATTTTTCTCTGTGTGAAATAGAATTACCTTTTCTAGTCTCTAGGCAAAGAAAATGGCAAATCAGAGGGAGTGACCTTGCTGCCATGTACTTTTGTTCACTTTGCATAATTCCAGAGACAAAACAGCATCTCTCTGGGAACACCATTTCCTCTTACAGAGATCTTTTCTCTGAGTGAATTAAATACGTCTTTCAGCAGAAGGGCAGACAATTGCAGAATGTTCTTGCAAGGATATTGCTCTTATTTCCTGCTGCCTCAACATATCTCCCTACCCTGTCACCTCTGAGGACTGGAGCTCGGACTCCAGGGATGCCCTGCCTGTCACACAGCAGTTGCTCTCACTCTCAGGCCACCCACACATCACACTTCTTACGCAGTAGGAGAGCACAACCTGCACCTGGGTTGGCCTGGTGGCTTGCCCCATGGAAGTATTTGTGCCTCCAGTTTGACAGGCAGAGACAGGCTCAGGCCTCCCCGTGCAGCTGCAGGGCTCTCCGCAGCCAAGTGCCATGAGACCCACGTGGCTGGCCTCAAGGGAGCTGCTGTTTTTCACCGTGTTTCAATCTGAAGTGCTCAAAATAGCAGTGGGCTGTGTTGCAGCTGACCCCAGTAGCTGTTCTGTAGGGTAAATGAAAGCTGGGTGTGGCAAGGTTTGGAGCAGAGCAGAAGGTCATCTGAAAGTTGGGGATTTTGTGAGATGCTATTCGAACGTTTTCTCCGTGCCAGATGTGCAGTGGTAATTCATACCATGAACTGTCTTGTTAGCTGTGCTGGAGTTTCATCTTGCAGAGATCTATTAGCTCCCTGCAAATGGGAATCTGACCATAACATAACACATTGGGATGGAAAACCAAGGCCAAAGGAGGGCAACAAGGAGCAAGTCACATCTGATCATGTACATATCTTCTTGACTTTGCAAAGCATGTGCCCTTTCTCTTGCTGAGCTCAGCCTCCTGGTGTTGGCTACAGTCCAACATCCATACTCATCCCTCTGCACGTCTTGTCCAAGGAGCATGTGCTCATACAACAACCATGTCAGCTTCACTTTTGTCTGGACTGCCTGGGGCATAAATACTGGTGACTTCTTCCCATGTCCAGGGAAGTGGATGGGAACACACCACAGCTTCAGCCCAGCCCGTATTGTCACTTTCCATGGTTTCAAGAGCAGAAGGAAGAGGGGCTGGCACGCAGCTGTGTCCCACCCTGACAGGGAGGTGGGCACAGCTGGGACTGTAAGCTAAGAAGCTGGAGCCAGAAGTTAAGAAGTCCTCAGGTTTCCACCATTAGAGGATCTAGTCCTCAAGGGACCAAAATGCCTGAGCAAGCACTAGCAGCATCTCAGAAAAGGCTCAATCAACAGCTCTTAAAAATTATGAAAAAGCTATGTCCCTTTATATAGATACTATGGTATAAGGTGTTATTCAGTATTTTCTACTTCAAAAATATGCTCAGATCACTGATGGTCTTTGCTTGAGTTTTGGAGGTGCTCCCAAACCTGTTTTTCATGGGAGACAGAGGGAGTTGAATATACCAAGTGGCATTACAGATTGGAGTCCGAAAAACCACATCTCAATCAAACAAACATTTCTCCTGTTGCAGCATTTCTTCCTCTGAGGTTTGTGCTGCAGCACTCAGAGGAGGTGATATGAGCTTCCTGATTAAGTAAGCAGGCAAACAGGTTTCTGAATTTGGTTGGATGCTAGGCAGAGGAAAATAGCAAAGGAAAATAGCCGTCAGTCAGCACATTCGGTTCTGCTGTAAAACTGAACCTGCTGCCTTACCATCAGACTCAAGGACTGGGGTCTCTGAAGGGAATTTTTCAAATTACACTACAGCACCTACTTACAGAAGAGAAAGGAACGGGGTAGAAAAAAAAGCAAGAGCTGTGTCAGTGGGATAGCGAGGCTTACTAGTTTGAAAGGAAAATTTTTGTCCCATAAGCTATAAAAATGCAGTGAAAGGAAGACCCACGAGAAGGTGACAGAACAAGAAAAGACTATAAAGCTGGAACAAAGTTACCACATCCTATATCACTCTGTTCTACACACACATTCCTTCTGTTGGTATAATCATACCACTCCACATGATCCTTATGATCCTTTCCTGTATTGCTTGGCTCATCCCTGCACTGTTCCTCTCCCACATTTCAGATTGCTGTAAGAAGGGCTGTTCCTTGCCATGGCCAGGGCTTGCCCAGGTGCCTGTTGAGGCAGGTCTCGCCTGTCAGTCTGGCTGGAAGAGGAATCCTTAAAAGCCTGCAGGCAAGCTGTTGGGTGTATATGCTGCTCTGATGAGGGAGCACAGGCATTTCAGGATGGCTAATCTGTAGACAAGATCCTATTAAAACGAGGTGCTTAGAAAGCGTTATCTAGGTATAACCTGAAAGAGGAAACAACTGTTTAAGCTCATTTATAGACCATGGAAACTGCTTTTCCTCACTGTATTTCCATCCAGCTGGAGTGCTGCACCAACTGCTGGTATTGCAAATTCAGGCACACGTCTTAGTGGAGTCTCATTTCTCATCCCCAGTGCTAAAGGTTTTCCAGACCAATTTATGCATTTAGTTACTTCTACTTAGTCTCATGGCCTTCTAGCGCTGCATTTGTGATACCCATGCAACCTCACTGTGATGTAAATCTTCTAGTGCTCCTTGTTCTCAAGAGGACTCTGAAATTAAAGATTCAAAAGCTCCAGAGGCTTTCCAGCTATCGTAAAATCTCATGATGGATAAGAGACTAGTGTCACTGACTGAAATTTAGTATAGAGTCTTGCTGATGTAAATGAGAGATTTTCTGAAATCTCCCTGAAGCACTCGAATAAAACACAGTGACTGTTTGTGTATGTGGATAAAAGCAAGGAATGGGAATAAATATGTAGGAAAAATTCATGTGTTCAGTAAAAAGGATTTTTCATCTGCTTTTTAGAGGACTGCACTTTGGAAAGACAGTCCTCTACATCCATGAGGATGTAGACAAATCCTCATTTTTTATATTGTTGCTTTTATAGAAAATTTTCACAGGCGACTCTAATGGGTTCAAACGTATTCTTGAGTTCATTACTCTAGGAGGAAACAGGTCAAAACTATCACTGTCTTAGAGACCTTGTCTTTTTAGGGACTTAACCCAAAAGGCACTTCTCTGCCAAGGCGAGAGTCGCTGCCTGTGCTCACAGTACAAGCTGCTGAATATCTGGACTTTCGACAGCAATGTTTCTTTAAATGACAGCTCAAAACAATAGCACAAGAGACACAGTCTTCAACTTGGTGATCTTACAGGTTTTACTGTTCCTCTCTCTCACACATTTTCTTGCTCCCCATGTCAGACTGCTTATGCTGCAATTTCCCATGCATTTCACTGAACACAGTGGGAGATGGCATACCCTGAGAAATGACTGTAGGGTCAGAGCCTGTCCCTATACGCTATAGTAAGGGTCTAAATGCTTGTTATTAGGGTCAGCACACAGCCAGGTAGGTGTTTAGGGCTGTTGCAAGGCTGAACAGTGAGCACCATCACCTACAGCAGAGAGAGCCACTGTCACCTGTAGGGCTTTCTGGCTGCATTAAAGCCAGGGAAAGGCAACTGGTGCAAATCCCAATGTTTCTTCAGTATGGAGCTGTGAGAAGGCCAGCACCCAGAGCTGAGACCTCAGGAATGCTCTAAGGAGCTACTGGATTAGAGTAATTGTAGCATAGATGGGAATAAAGCATAATCCAAATGGCAAGGCTAGGGTTTTACAAGGCTCTGGCAGGGTATGGGAATAGGATTTATAAAGGCTTTAATCTGTCTATGCTGCAAGATTTAATCATACTCTGTTTGACGATTTTGTAAATGGTATTTAGACAGCAGACCACTTGAAAGGTGAGGACTGTGTCTGGTAAATTGTGAAGCTCCTTTAAAACTCCTGCCATGTTGATCTGTGAGCCAGGAGGGTTGAGAGCAAAGGATCTCTCTGGGAGGCTGCCCTCAGTGGAGGGGCTCTTGATCCACCAGTGCCTCTGGGGTACCTAAGCCCTACAAAATCTTTTACCCCACCAGTTCAATTTCCCGCTGAAGGCCCAAGTTCAAAACTTCCCCCTCCCACCTCCCACCCTTGCAGTCAGAGTACTCCCCCAGCTACATTTTAGGGCTGATTGCATAAGCAAAAGGTGCCTTTGTACGGGGAGCAAAGGTGGGTGTTCTCCTCCCCTTCCCCAGCTGCTGCAGGCTGGCTCCGGAAAGTCAGGGCTGATGGGGCTTGGGGAGGGTTCTGACAGCACTGACTCACTCCTGAAGAGGAACCATGCCAAAAATAACCAGAATTTAAAGGGGGAAGTACTGGTAGGAAGCCTCTGAAGGCAGTCGGGGTGTGGGCTGGGGCACCTGACATCTGCCCAGTGCTCCAAGCAGCCTTTAATGCCCATGACAAAGAAGGGCAGGGGGGCTGAGGGGACTGGGGACTAAGGCATCCCTCCACCCTGAGGAGGTGATGAAATAGTATTGATCAGTACATGAGCTAAGGAAGCAGGAGCCTGATCACACTGTGTTTCCTGCACTGTGCTCCTCCCTTTCCCTGAGACCTCCGTTTTGCTCTGCCCATGGCAGGATTTTTGTTCCTCTGACCACTTTGATTCTGAGCTATGCATGTTCAATGCTTGCAGCATATTTTCCTAACGTGCCTGCAATGCAGCAGAGCTGTAGTAACACAACGAAGACCAAACTATTTTATACCTCACTTAGCTCACTCACTCTTACAGCTGAGCAAGGCTCCTAAGTACAAGCAGCTCAGCAGCACACAGGGCATCTGCAGCCAAGTTTTACACGGTGCTTATAGTACTGGTTTTGACCAAACCACCTCTTCCAGAAATGCATTTTAAAGCCTTAAGAGAAGAAGTCCAGTGATGGCTGAGAGTGACCATCCTCTCTCCCTGCTTTCCGCAGAGGCAGCAAACACTCCTAGTCCGTACTGAGGCACTTTGGCAGGGATTTGTTTGACACCGAAAGGTTTGTAAGCACCACCTGTCAAGGTTTCACTGAAAGAACTGCCTGTCATGTGCAGTCGCAGGCTGCCAAAATGCCAGTGGAACCGACGAGAGCCTCTGCAAGCCCAGCACCACCCAGCATTCTGTCGCAAGTGGCTTTTTCACTCGTGGTTCTTCCCTTCAGAAGGTCAGGACCTAAATCCATGCTGGCGGACACTTTGTTCTGCAGCTGAGAATTCAAAATATTTGTCTCCGGAACCGGCTGTTCTTTTGTTAAACCAGTTTCAGTGCACCGGGACTGCGGAAATTGGCAGTCAGCTTTTGAATGGAAGCAGTGCTCTGTCTTTAACTTTACTGTTAAGTGCTGGTAGTACTGGGTGTGGGATTTAAAAATTTCAACAAATAACTAAAATTAGAAGCAAAATGCCTGGTGGGTCAGCATGGAAACTCCAGTTCCCTACACAACTGCAATTTAGGAAACGCAGGAATTGTAGGATTAGGTTGCTGCTGTTTAGGGTTAGATCTAACGAGAAAAAGTCAAGCCTTCAAAGAAGACAGGCAGCTTTAAGCAGAGAGGGTAAACATAGCAAAAAGCAGCAGAGAGCAAGTCCCCACAGATCTTCTCCCCGTGCTTAGCTTGGAGGGTGTTGCCCTCCAACTCAGTCCCATCGCTGCAGGCATAAAACACGGTCCCACCTCGGCAGGCAAAAGGCGCTTTTTTACTCACCATTCCCAACAGATCCTCCAGCCAGCGACAGGGCAGAGAGCAGGGTGATAAGGCTGGGATTTCTCATGCTGCCCTGGCAGTGCTCCCACACGAGGGGCGCTCCGTCAGGCTCCCTGCTGCACCCAAACATCTACATTTCCTGCTTCCTGCCAAGGTGCATCTGAGCTGCATTTCTTCAGGAGATGGACTCTCTTTGATGGGTTTTAGGAAGTGATGTAATTCCGTCTGGGCCTGTCAAGCAAGCAATGATTGCAAAAGAAAGAAGAAGGAAAAAAAAAACACAGAAGTTGCACTTCAAGCACAAACTTGGCTGAAGCACCTTTATTCTGTAGGTGAGAGAGCTCCTGCTCTCCTCCTCTCCTTTCACGCCTGACTTCAGTACCTTTTATCTTCATCTACACACAGTACCAAAGGGACAGACATCATACCAATACAAATCAGACACAAAATTTAATTTCTGTGAGTTAGCAGGAAGGTTTCATGTCACTTTTCAGGGTGGTTGAGCAAGCAAATTTCAAAAGTGCCTCCTCTCTTGCCTTGCTTTTCAAGCACGATAGGACACTGAGTGCATTTATGACCCCAAAAGGCAACCCCAAGTGGGGTGTCTCTAACAAATGGGATGAATTGCTGACTCTCTTAGCAGCCTGTCACTGGTGTTCTGGACTGGTTTGTACCAAGGAAGAGGAGAAAGCAGAAAACCACATCATTTTTTTGTTAGGAGTAGGTGGCTTGGCTGGAAAATGCTGAGACATCAGTGTGACAATGGCTATAGATGACAGGAGACAGAAGGTCTCAGGCCCCACCAGGGTGCACTGCCTGGCACAGGGGTCCAGTCACAGTTGATGGAGGTGGCGAGAGGCAGATAATCCTGCCTCCCTTCCGTATTAATCTTGATTTTCAATCCCCCTGGCACTCTCTGTCTGGGTGTGCAGACCACAGGGCACAGCTGATGCCCCCCAGCGCTGCCCTGTCCTCTGTCCCCACCACTCCACCATTGTCCACACACTCAGAAACATGTGAGGGCTGACCAGGGGCTTCCACATATTGCCTGTCACTGGGTAGGAGCAATGGATGTGCTCAACACTAAACCCAACATTTTCAACCTTCTTGCTATATGGGGTGGGCCTCTGCAGGGCTAGGAACTGGACCCAGGTCTAAACCATCCTTGTCTTCAAGCAGGGAGGGTGGTGGGACCATAGGTTTGGTTTGCTCCACTATACAAATAAGTTCTAGATCTAAACCTCATCCTTCTGAGTCCAGTAGAGTCTGCACTCCAGATTTTACTTCAGAGCATCACGGATTCAAGTCATTTTAAATACTTGCATAAAATTTCCCAGTAATAAACTAAGGAAGAAGGCATGAAAGGTGCCCATGTAGGAGCTCCACGGTACTTCCCCTAGACATCAATCTGTGTCAAAATCTGATTTCTGATTAATTTGCTGAATCTTTCTGTTCAGATAGGTAGGAAGTTGCCAATTACTCAATTACTCCAACTAATAATTTTTTTTAACACACTGATGCTCTTATAGGTCATCAGTTTTAGTTTTCTTACCTTGAGTAGCTGAGAAATTGCTCAGTGATTCATATAATGACCAGTTTGTTGACAGATTTAAAACACTTGAATGAGTTTGTTAACTAACTAGTTGCTTAGTATTGGCAATGTACGTTTATGCACTCCATAAAACAGTGTGGGGAAAAAGCAAAGTTACAACATTGCAGCTACAAGATGATAAAGAGGAGCTCTGAGTTTTGAAGACACTGACTGACCAATGAAATATTTTTAGGAGATATTGTTTAATGTGATGTCAGTCATACACAATAACACTTTACCAGACAGAAGTTTCAGAGGTGAGACTTGCCAATACTTTTAAGATTTTTCTGCTAAAAAGGGACAAAACCTCCAAGGATTAATAATAATGTCTAATTGGGATGGTTTGACTTATGAAAGTAAAGAAATTGAGGCTACCAGGCATCTCCTACGTGCTCAGAGGTGCCATGGATTTGTCTAGTCTGCAATAGGAAAATGGTAATGGGCCAGTGGCCATCATGGGCAAAGCCTGTCTGTGTTTTCATGAGCATAGACTCAGGTTGCAAAGCTGTTACTATTGTCCATCCGCAGCTTTTCTTGAACTTAAGACAACAGGAGGAAAATCATACTTTTTCACAGTGTTTTTGTTGCTTTAATATATGTGCTATACTCCTTTCTACTTCTTCCCCATCTCCTTCCCAAGTTTGCCACTCTTGGTCTTTCTAATACCACATGGACTGCAAACATGCTCCTCTGGTTTATCCTGCCCTGCATATTTGGCATTTTTGCCCCATTCTGTAGACTTAGCCCAGCTCACTCATCCCTTACTAAAACATAAAACCCAGACAGAGAAACTGGAAAAGAGAAAAACACTTGTGTTTGATGCATTTTATCTCATAATTCTAGTGTAAAAGACTACATCCTTTCCTCTTTTCCTTTCCAGTCTTTCTACATAGCTTGTAGCATTTTCCACACAGATTCCCATCAAATATTTTTGACTCATGTTTGGCTAACAGCTTGTTGTTGCCCCTTGAGAGCAAGACAGACACCCAGTGGTGTGTACACAATTATGATTTCTAAGGCAAATAAAAGTACAAGAAAGTGACTCTTGGCCCCATTACATTTTAATTAAGACTTCAGAGTGGTATCACTCTGAAGAGGCAGTTTGGCACACATTTGAGTATTTTAATTTAAAAAAAAATGTAGAGAAAGAGGAATGAGGTATTTTGGATGCTGATAAATCAGGCTGTCAAGCAAGGGCAGTTACCGTGGTCCATCCCCAGGAGCAACAGGATCATGCTCCCCTGAAGCACTCCCAGCAGGCTCCCTTTTGCCTGCCTGGGAAGTAAGGTTAGCAATCTTTGCCTTGGTTGTGTTCCTCACTCTCATGCACCTCTCTTAATAGCAGAAATGCAGAAACCAAAAACTGTACTGACAGTCTTGCTGCAAAACTAACTATGTATTTGGAAACTTCAATCACAGATGACTTTGTAAGAGTGGTAGATTGTATCTGATAATTTCATAGGCCTTAGTGCATTTACTAGGATTCACAACGCACCTTGGCAAAAAGGAATGTCTTTTCACAGGTGAAACAACTGAGTTTCCTGGGTGCTTTCAATGTGTGTTACCCAGCTGGAAACATTCTGTGCATGTTTGATGTTACCGTTTCATTGGTCTTTATACTATAAAGGGCATTTCTGACCACCTAGATTTCTGACCACCTAGGTAGGCTCTTTGCTAAAGTTCTTCCCTAATTAGAGGAGGATTTGCATCACTGAGATTACAGGATGTCACCAGCGGGACATTTTCAGAAAAACAGGAATGTGCTGTAATGCTGCAGCCATTTGACTCATGCTCTTCTTGTTCCTTTTTTCTATGAAAACAACAACAGCTAAACTTTTGCAACTCATGTGGCAAGTTTAGGGTTACTTATAGGGCTTACATTACAAACCCCTGCTCTTGCAGTTTGTCTGCTGCAGACATCGGCAGTTAATCCACCTGCTCTGAAGGGCAGGCAAGGGCTAGAGCCAGCCAAGTTCTGCTAGTCCCTTAATGAATTATTTCTGCCTCTGACGTACGTTGGGAAAGGACAGATGAAATTTTCCCACAAATCACTGTGAAAGAATGGGAAGTAGAACTGTATTGCAATTCACTGCCACATTAAAATAAATAAATAAACAAATAATCATCAAAGCAAAGGGGAATGTGCAAAGCCCGTGGAGATCTGCTCAAGCCAACCAGAGCCCTGGCTGCAATGGTGCTTCTGTGGGATGCTGAGCTAAGTAAGATTTGCAGAATTGAGGCTGAAATCCACAGCATCCTTGTGTAGAAAATTCACGTGGATTTGGAACCGCATCCATGGTTGTACTTGTTTCAGAGCAAGCATTGCCTGCCTGAGTTGCAGAAGATAAAACTCTCTTTCCAGCAAACTCTCTCAAGTCTAGATTATTTGAAAAGACAAGTTACATTGTATTTCAGCCACAGAAGTGCTTGAGAAAAAGGTTTATATCTTTCTGAAACCAATACCACCAGTATAAATTAGAACAATGCTTAGAACAATGAGATTTAGTCCCTAACTGGGTGTCACAAAAATATCTAAAATGAGAGTGACAATAAAAGCATAAAAACAAGTACCTTCCAGCTTTAAGAACCTCTTTGCTTAACTGGACTTGTAATTATCTTCTTTTGTCTTTTTCTATATTTTCTTCCTTACACACAATACAGGCTGTTAAATCATGGCTGTAATATTTTGGATACTTCAATAGGAACAGAAATAAAATACAAAACTATACTTGAAAATATGCAGATCTTGTATCTAAGTTTCCTTTAACAAATTGAAAAACAGATTCCTAAGAGAGACTTCTAACATTGAAAATCTCATCTGAAATGAAAAAGGCCGTAAATTGCAGAGGGGTGCTGGCAGACGTACATTGAAGTGCAGTTGGACACTTCGTTTCTACTTGTTTCTTGGAAAGTGGTACATGGATTATAGATTTTGCACATGCCAAAAGCTTCCTAAGTTATTTGTGACTTGTGTAAAATCCTAAAATAGGTGATGCCTCCATTCTACTGCAGTACTGACAGTGTTTTGAAATATGCCTCCTCCTGGGAGCTTAGCTTTCCTTCAGGCAAAATCCACAGCTGAAACAGCATTTTTGAAAGGACAGTGTATGGTCAGCAAAGTCATCTTGTCATTTGACCACTGGAGAAACACAGCTTTACTAGCTGGTGTAGGTAGTGCCCCTGCAGTACCTCCCTCTAGCCTAGCGTGGCCTTTGCCCATAAAATCCTTCACCCACAATCTTTCAAGACGCCTTCCTTTGAAACTTATGTGGGACTGCATGAAGTCTTTGTCTCAATGCAGGCTGGATAAAGGTGGGATTAACACAATTAATACAACTTCAGGTTTTCATTTGTCAGAAAGCAACTCAGAGTGCTCCTCTAAGCTCCAACAGTGGCTGTGCCTTTCTCTGCTCCCAAAACTGTCTGTTTTAACACGAAAATCTAGGTGGTTGGACCAGGAGGCTGTGGCCCACTTATTTTCAAAACAATACTGAGTACCCTCATGAGACATGAAGCCATGAGTATCTCAGAAAAGCAGCCAAGGTCTGAGCAATGCAA